AAAAAAGGGGGGTGAAGAGAAGAGGCTGGAGGGGCTGAATGGCCACTGTCTGTTGTAGGACGCTGTTGGTTTTAAAGTTCCGACCCCATGAAAGAGATTCCAAACAAATGGTGAGGTTCACCCTCTATCTTAACCTTCCATTGATCCATTGCTATTTTTTTGTCACTGTTTATTTCCTGTCCCCCCTCTTGCAGGCGTCCGCAGATCCTACACCTTTGGCCCGACGGGAGGTGGCTATGAGAATCCAGTGGGGCAACAAGTGAGCCTGGAGCATATCTCCAACAACGCATGGCAAGTTACACACTGCTTCCTGTGTTCTCCAGCAATGTCACCCGCTCAAATCTTCCGTTTACCGTCACCGTGCCTTCTCCCAGGGAGGTCCTGAAACACGTCCTGGCTGAGACGCTGTGTTTAAGCGTGTGATTTAGGAGCAGGGATTTAGTCCCTCAAGCCTGCTCTGCCATCGGATAAGGTTGTGGCTGATTTGACTGTGTCCCAGCTCACTTCCTTGGTTTGCCTGATTTTGATCACTAAATGAAGGGCATAAAATCCCAAAAGACTTTGGGAAAGCCCAGCAAGCAGCAGAGAGATACAGTATTCCAAAAGAACAGATTTAAAAAGACTTGAAAGTAGTAAACACTTCTTGACTGATGAGGGAGTAAGTGTCTCAGTCGTAAAAACGTTGCGGTCACCCCTCTGTCGAAACCCCGATGGATACAGACCCAACCTGTCCAGCTTCCCCTATAAGGTGACCTTCCTTCCCTCCCCTCTCTTCTTCCTCCAGGTATCCATCACACAGCAAGATCCTGCAAAAGTGGGGCAGGTCCAGCAGTAGAAATGCTGACCCTGAGCTCTGGGGGAAACTTCCTCACTTTGTTGTGGGATATTCAAGTTACAGATGGACACGGGCTTTGTTCAAAGTTCCACCCAACGTGCGGCACCTTTGACCTCTAACCCTAACCCGGTGGCCTAGTTGTATTATCGCTAGACTATTTATTCAGAGACCCAGATAATGTTCTGGGGACCCTCATTTGAGTCCTGCCCGCAGCAGATGGTGGGAATTAAAAATCTGGAATAACTATCTTATCCATTGTCGATTGTCGGAAAAATCCATCTGGTTTGCTAACGTCCTTTAGGGAAGGAAGCTGCTATCCTTACCCAGTCTGCCCTGCATGTGACTCCAGACCTACAGCAATGTGGTTGACTCCTAACTGCCCTCTGGGCAATTAGGGATGGGTAATAAATGCTGGATCAGCCAATGATGCCCTCATCTGGTGAATGAATGAATGACACACACCCCTCCCTTCCCTTACCTGCCTTTGTGTTCTCTCAACATTTTGACACCATTCGCATTCCAGAAATCCCCAGAGCATTAACAGCAATTTCTCTTTCCCTTGGGAATCTTAGGGATCATCAGTCCCACTCTTCCAGCTTCACCTCTGCCGACGCTCCGGAGGGAATGCCACCGCTGTCGCTCCTCCAGCCCCGGCCTGTGGTACTTCAGGGCATGCAGGTCCGTAATGTGCCGTTGGAGATTCCTGAGGTAACCGAGGTTAATTTGCAGCTGGAATTAGCCTCTTTCACATCGCTTCCCTCCCTCTGTTCGTGTTGCAGTGTGCCGTGTGGCTCTTCCTTGTTTGCTTGTTTGTGAGCCGGCTAGATTATTTGACTGCAGTGAGTGTTACAGTGCAGTGCGGATAATCTTCCCACCTCCTGGTGCTCTCATGCTGGCCCTTTCTAGCGCTGGCCTAGTGCAAGTAAGGTCACACGTTCCTGTGGCTAATGGAGCAACAGGCCCTACTTATCTCCTGCGCTGTCGGTTCGACATTAAGTTGCTGGAGGTTGGAGATCTTGTAACAAAGACTTGGTGTACTTGAGCAATGTGACCATCGTCACAAAAGAACAGGAGGAGGCCCCTTACTCTCTAACCCTCAAATTGTAGTTGGGCAAGACAATTATTTAAAATGTTCAATTAATGGCCGCTCCTAGCCCCAACAGCTGTTGGTAGCAGGGGTTCATGGAATGTGGGTGGGCTAGCATTTATTGCTCATCCATAATTGCCCCTTGAGAAGGTGAAGAAGTGCTTTCTGACATCATCCCTACCTCTAATGTTTAAGTTAAAGGCTCCGTCCAGCCCCCTACTCGTTTTGACTCGCCTTACCAGAGGAAAATAGCTCCCCCAATTCTCGACCCAAGCCTCCTTTAAACCCCCTGTGCTCAAGAATTTGCAGCCAGTCATGTAACGCATTTAGTCCCAGTGTGGCTCAGTTGCATGCTGCCAGGTTGATTGGAGGAACATGACTTGATGTCTCCTTCCTGTTTCCATTTCATCCCGGGATAAATCGCTCAGCAAAGACGGCAGCGTGTCAAATAACCTCTGCTCCTTGTTTTTTTTTTTTTTTTGGTCTCGTTTCTTGGGGGAACAAAAAAAATAATTCCCAGTTGGATTTTCTGGATCAGGAATCTCTCCACGAATCCCAGGAAAACACGCTGATGATAGAAGAGAAGAGCAGGAACAAACAGTACTACAAGTTCTGGCTGCTGCCTTGGAAGTGGATGCGAATCCGTTACGACCGCCTGGCACTGCTGGCTTTGCTCGACAGGTTTGGCGTGAAAGGAGGGGAATTCCGGAGATGCGTTGTGTGCCTTTGAAACAGGATTTAGGAAAGTTGGAGCCTGGCTGGATTCTAGCCCCACGGCCAAGCCATCGGTGCTAATTTAAAGTGTTTCCTCTTGTGGGAATCACGGGTGGATTTCCATCTCTGAATGCACCGTGTCCTGTATCCCTCATGGAAACACTTGCGCTGTCACTGTCTCCAAGATAAAAGTGCCTGCATTGGCCACAAAGGTCTTTGGAGCATCCTATGGGCATGAAAGGCTCCTTAACAATGCACGTCTGGCTCCGCAGCGTGCTGGGAACCAACCCAGATCCGAGCCTCAAAATGAAAGGCCCTGCATTTGTATGGCACTTCTGAAGATTGCCCACAGTGCTTTTGCAGCCAACGTGGCACTGCAGTGTTGGAATCCTAGACATGCTGCAGCTGAAAGGAGGCCATTTGGCACACTGTGTGCGTGCTGTCTCTCTGTGAGCAGCTCGCCTACAGTCATTCTGTCTGTAACTCCGGATATTCGTCCTTTTCAAATAACTATCTAATCCCCTTTCAAAGGCCTCACAGTTCAACCAGCCTTCACTGCACTTCCCAACCCTGGACACTTGTGTGAAAAATATTTCCCTCATATTTTTCGTTAATTAATTTGAAAATGTGGCATCTTGTTCTCAATCACTTAACGAGTAAAAACATTTCCTCCCTTTTACTTTGTCCCCATAGTTTTTTTTCTCTCAGTCTTCCTTTGTCCAATCTGGAACTGAAATTCCTCATTCAACCATTCTCACAAACCTGTCCTGCACTGTTTCCTATAACGTGGCATTCAGAACTGGATATGATACTCCAGTGGCCTTTCTTGCACAGCAACTCCCTGCAAACATGTTGATTGAGAGATGGGTATTGGCCACTTCTCTAGTCACCACTCCAGGAGTGCAGCATTCCCTCGTTGCCAGTGCACTGTGGACTCAAGTCTCTGGAGTGAGACTCGACCTTACAACTGAGCGTGGAGTTGCAAGTGCTCCCCATTTCTAGTGCAGTGAAGCGAGATCCCAGAGGCTCTCGCAGGGGCAGGGTGAGAGTTGATGTGCTGCCCATACCTCCAGTGGAGGTTGGCACAATCGCTGAGACTTTTGGTTTCTCAGCGTGTTTGCCAGGTAAAACCCCAGCAGTTCCCTGCCAACCTCTGGTGCCAGATGGCAAATGGTGCCCAGGCCCTCCAGGGCTGCCTGGCATGTCCAAAGTCCGACCCTTTGTGGGTGTCGCGTTCACAAAGCGGCCCCTAAGGCAATCCCCTCCCCTCCCCTCCCCTCCCCCTCATTAAAGCTCCAGAAAAAGACCTGAAGCCTTTGCCAGCATCTTTCTGCTCGTTTCCATTTCTAGCACTGACCGCCCATTCTTTTCTGTCACCCCCACCCCCCGCCGCACAGGAATTCCCGTTAACCTTCTTCCTCCTCTCTCCGCAGAAACCGACAGGCCCGTGAGAATGTGGTGGCTGTTAGCCTGGCTGCCCTGGTGGCTTTCCTGGGCTTCATGCTTCTCCTCGAGGGCTTCTTCAGGGACATCTGGGTGTTCCAGTTCTGCCTGGTCATTGCCAGCTGCCAGTATTCGCTGTTGAAGGTAATACCCCGACGATATGTAGAGACAGATCCCGACTCCCTAACCAGCCGTTAGCCAGTTTCAGTTTGAGATGACCAGCCTTTCAGATAACACTCTTGACTTGAAGCCAGCAGCATTTCACAGGGTGGGGCGCACCAAGTCGCCTTTGGGACTCGTGCCCAAAACCTTGAGCGGACAGGTAGAAATATGGCAAAGTGGTGAATTTTTGAGAGGAATTCCAGCGCTCGGGACCGTGCTTGCTTAAACAGCCAGAATTGGAGGCATGCAGAGATCTCATGAGGCTGGACAAGGTGGCTGCGTTTCTATTGCGTACGTTTCTGTTTGCCCTTTTGAGTTTGCCTTTGTTTTCGGGTTAGTGCCCCAGAAGGAAGGCTCTTGTATTTTCCCTTTGCTTCGATTTTGAAAGAGCCAAGGAGGGGCATCTTTCGTTTAAAAGAGCAGGGGCCGGGTACAAGAGAAATTTGGAATTCAAGCCAGTGAGGAGAGCAGGTGAACAGGATTTGGTGCAAGTCAGAACATGGGGCAGTAGAGAAACAAAAACAAAGTTGCTGGAAAAACCCAGCAGGTCTGGCAGCATCTGTGAAGGAGAAAACAGTTAACTTTTCGGGTCCGGTGACCCTTCCCCAGAACTGGGACAGTAGAGGTTTATCTTGTCTTCGGTTTGCCAAAGGTGAGTGATTCCATGAAATTTGCACTCCCGTACCCAATGCTGTATTGTTTATCTCTCTTTTTATTTCTTTGTTTAAAAAGAAGATTGTGAAGCTCTGTTAGCAGACAGTCCGCAGGGTCACTGGTACAGTCTGGATTCTGAAGGACAGCCTGCAGTGCAATGCCTGAAGGACAGTCAGAGATTCTAGAATTTGGACTCGATGATGATGAAGGAATGGGCACCTTGTATTCCCATGAGCCCATTGCCGTTGTCCTTCCCGATGGCACCCTGGAGGGAATGCCTGCAGCTGCTGTGTCAGTTACATTGCCTGTTACGCTACATGTGGTCCTGGCTTGGACATGCGTCTCATGGTTGCTGGGTCAAAATCCCCCACGGACTGTTCACCACACACGAACCCCTGGGATAGATGCTAAACTTGGGCAACGCGAGCGTTGTAGCATGTGGGGGAGAAGCTCCACATCATCTCTCCTGTGATAAACCAATCTGATGAATTGTGAGCGCTGTTGGTTCGTTGTCCACTGTTTTATTTAGCACACAACCAGCTGATATGGGCTTGACTGATTTTTCTTTTTCCCCCTCAATTTTCCATGGCCCGTCTCCCAACTAATTTTATTTTTGTTCGTTTATTCTTGATCGTCAGAAAATGTATCCTCTCAAACCCTGCGCTCTCTGCAAATGTGCCTCGAGGATTAAACATTTGTACATGATTAAAACCACTCTGACTGATAGTCGTGTGTTTTTGTTTTTCTTCCCCCCACCCCCCACAGAGTGTTCAGCCTGATGCGGCCTCTCCGATGCATGTGAGTAGCATGAATTAAACTTGCATTTCTACGGCACCTTTCACGGCCCTTTGATGTGCCCAGAGCATCTTACAGCCATGGACTTTTTGGCACACCGCTGCTGTAATGTAGGAGACATGGTAGCAAGTTCCAGTGGGCAATAATAGGATAATGACCTATATCGTCTGCTTTAGAGGCAAAAACAGAAATTGCTGGAAAAGCTCAGCAGGCCTGGCAGCATCTGTGGAGAGAAATCAGAGTTAACGTTTCAGGTCGAGTGACCCTCCCTCAGAACTGGGATTGAAAGTTCATCAGCCTGAGGAAGGGTCACTCAACCCAAAACGTTAAATCTGCTTTCTCTCCACAGATGCTGCCAGACCTGCAGAAATTTTCCAGCAATTTCTGCTTTTGTCTCTGATTTACAGCATCCGCAGTTCTTTCGGTTTTCATCCACTTTAGATGTTGATTGAGGGATAAATATTCCCAAGGGGAAATTCTTTTTTTTTTATTTGGAATACAGGCCAGGATATCTCTTGTATCTTCCTGAGAGGATAGGTTGCAACTTTCAGCATCTCACCTAGAAGGCAGTACTCCCTCAGTGCTGTAGTAGCTAAAATCCATCAAAAGTCTCCTCGAAGTGGGATTTGAACTCCAAGGTAGGGACTACTGCTCTCTGAGCCACATCTGGCCTTCAGAATGAGTCAGGGATGTGAAATGGCTTGAGAAACTGTGCAGTTTTCCCCTCAGAGTCCTGCACCCCTTCCCATTTTCTATCCTACTACCATGCAGTTTCTAGTGCAACTCTCGTCTCTAGCTCCCCATTGCCGTGCGGCTCCCTCTGGGCCACGGGGTTGGGTCACCCAGTGATGTATAATGTTAAACCAGAGGGTAGGGGCTGGCGGAATTGTCCTGTGATTTGGTGTGCGCGCATGAGAGAGAGAGAGAATGCTGTGATCTGACCTGACTTGTGAATCTCCCACAGGGTCACAACTGGATCATTGCGTACAGCCGGCCAGTCTACTTCTGTATGTGCTGCGCCATGATTTGGCTCTTCGACTTTGGCAGCCAGAGGAGCGATCTCCAGCCCATCAGCCTGTACGGGGTCACTCTCTTCTCTGCCCAGTCCTTTGCCTGCGCTCGGGATGTGGTGATTGGTGGGTTTATCTCTCTGTTTATTGGGTTTACTGGGTGTTCAGCCCAACCGATTCACATGGCTGTTCCTGCTCCATACGCGCCTTCTCATTATCTTGTTCGTTTGCCCTTCTGTTCCTTTCTCCCTTGTGTGTTTGTCTGGACTCCAGCTATCGCTCTTGTTCTACAGCCTGGGCGTTTTAACTGCAATGTGGATTTTGTAGGTGGGCCGTTTGCACACATTCTCTGCCCTCAGACTGGCATTTGGACTCCTCTCCGTTGAGCTGAGGAGCAGGGATGATCAACGAAAGGCTAGCAGCAATCTACTCCATGGGTCCCCACTGTAATAGCACAGGAACTGATTTTGTTCTGCCATCAGTTGTATGAAAACTGACATACACTTCCCCTCCGCATTCCTCATTACACGTACCCAATA